ACCCAAAACCTACCCCCTCCCCAACCCTAACCCTACCAACCCAACCAACCCTAACCCTAACCCTAACCCTAACCCTAACCCTAACCCTAACCTACCCCTAACCCCTAAACCCTAACCCTAACCTAACCCTAACCCTAAACCCAAACCCTAACCCTAACCCTAACCCTAACCCTAACCTAACCTAACCCTACAACCCCTAACCCTAACCCTAACCCTAACCACCCTAACCCTAACCCCTAACCACCCTAAACCCTACCTACCCTAAACCCTAACCCTAACTCCTACCCTAACCCTAACACCCTAACCCTAACACCTAACCTACCCTAACCCTAACCCTAAAAACCCTAACCCTAACCCTAACCCTAAACCCTAAACCCTAACCAGCCTCAACCCTAACCTAACCCCCCTAACCCTAAACCTAAACCCTAAACCCTAACCCATACACCTAAACCCTAACCTAACCCTAACCTAACCCTAAACCCTAACCCTAAACCTACCCTGAGCCCTGAACCCTGGACCCTGACCCCCTAACCCTAAACCCCTCGACCCTAACCCTAACCCTTAAACCCTAACCCAACCCTAACCCTAAACCCTAACCCTAACCCTAAACCGCTAAACCCTAACCCTAACCCTAACCCTAACCATTAACCCTAACCTAACGCCTAAACCCTAAAACCCGTAAACCCTAAACCCTAACCCTAACCCTAAAACCCTCAACCCCTAAACCCTAAAACCCCTAGACCCTAACCCTAACTAAGCCCTAACCCTAACCCTACACCTAACCACTAAACCCTCAAACCCTCAAACCTAACCCGAACCCTAACCCTAACCCTAACCTAACCCTAACCCTACACCCTAACCCCTAACCCTAAAACCCTAACGCCTAAACCTAACCCTAACCCTAACCCTAACCCTAACCACCGCCCATAACCCGAAGCCCTAAACCCTAAACCCTAAACCCTAAAGCCTAACCCTAAACCCTAAACCCTAAACCTAAACCCTAGAACCCTAATCCTAACCCTAACCCTAAAAACCCTAACCCTGAACCCAGAACAGATTGCCTGATCCTCCTAACCCTACCTCTAATCCTAACCTTAACCTTAACCTTAACCCTAACCTTAACCTTAACCTTAACCCTAACCCTAACCCTAACCCTAACCCTAACCCTAACCCAGAACAGATTGCCTGATCCTCCTAACCCTACCTCTAACCCTAACCTTAACCTTAACCCTAACCCTAACCCTAACCCTAACCCCTAACCCCTAACCCTAACCCTAACCCTTAACCCTAACCCTAACCCTCTAACCCCTAACCCTAACCCCTAACCCTAACCCTAACCCTAAGCCTAAACCCTAACCCCTAACCCTAACCCTAACCCCTAACCCCTAACCCTAACCCCTAACCCCTAACCCCTAACCCATACCCCTAAACCTAACCCTAACCCCTAACCCCTAACCCTAACCATAACCCCTAACCCTAAACCCTAACCCTAACCCCAACCCTAACCCTAACCCTACCCTAACCCTAACCCAACCCTAACCCTAAACCCTAACCCCAATAGGGATATCCTTGCTTATCCTCAGTTCACCTCCCCACCACCTGACCCTGATGAATTTATAGTAGACTTTGAACTTAGAGAGGAGGAATTTCCCACTCTCCAGTCAATTATGGTAAAGACAAAGCACACCATAGCCCAGACTAAGACCATCACAGTCCAGGCGCAGGTGATACACAGACCCTGCAGCCAACTTGATTCCAGGAGTGCCCCCACATTGACTAGGGCCACGGAGACCACACAACCACCCCAAACACCAATTATCAGCAATGTAGCGATTCAATCTGATCTAAACATTTCTGACCTCTCTGGGTCAGACACTAACATCTCTACTCTTGTTCCAACAGAGGTTCAACTAAATAAACACCAAAACCCTGCTGAGGTGGTGACTATGGAAAGAGGAGTAAAGGTGGAAAAAGTTGTGATGATGGCAGAAAACCAAAGGGAAAATCAATCCCAATAGTTTCCTGTCTGAACCTTCCCCAATACTAACCTCTCCACACACCAGATACCTCTTACCCACCCCACTTAGTCTGTCTCCAAAAAATAGGGTTCCTTCAGAGCCCACTGTGAGACTCACCCCTCTGCCTTCACCCAGACACTGTACCCCAACATCCCCAGCCACCCCCCCATTCTTGTACCAGCCAACTAGACATGACATGACAAACAGAAAAATCTATGACTGGAAAATAAAATCTCTCAAACCGATTGCTATCATTGGAGATTCAAATTTGAAAAGAATACCCTACCATCCGTACAAACACATCCAAATTGACAGTTATCCTGGAGCACAGTTCCACCACATTACTGGGGTATTGGCAAAATCTACCCCAAATCCTAACACCAAGGTGGTTGTGCTGTCTCTGGGGCTGAACAACAAAGATCAAACACAGAAACAAACACCCATAGGACAACTACAATCACTTCACAGTAAAGCAACAGCGATGTATCCTAATGCAACCATTTACTTCCCCATCATTAACTACTCTCCCCACCTATCAGAGAAACAACAAACCATGTTGAAATATATCAACTCACACATCGCCACACACTACAACCCCCTATTAGAAATCCACCATTCAGATTTCCACACAGAGAAAGACAATATACACTGGACAGCAGATACAGGGGCAAAAATACTCCAACATTGGATGGAACAACTAAAATAGTGGGGGAGGGTATGCCTACATCACAGCCCCTCCACCAAGACACAAACATCCTTAATCTTTCATCCACATTTCTCTTATCACCCTCTGAGACTCGGCTGCTGGAGAGGGGACTCACTTTTATCCCCACACCACTGCATTCTGACTATGGGGACCTCCAGAGGGACATCTACAGGTATCATAGAGCTCTGAAACTTTTGGACCACTTTGATTATAAATCGGATTACCGAACCCTACCGTTCACAGCTCCATCCAGATGGGAACCAAAATCACAGACAATATCAGCACCCATTAGGAAACTCATTAAAACTAATACACACATCATCAGAGAATTCCATACCGCTACCATAACTTCACAACAGAATATCACAGTAGAAGAAAGACAAGCCATAGCTAAATTAAGGAAACACAAACATATAACTATAAAATCAGCAGACAAAGGCTCAAAGATAATTATTATGGACAACCAACAGTACCTCTTTGAAGCTCACCGCCAACTCTCTAACACACAACACTATACCCCTATTCCTGCCTCTACACAGATCCAGACACAAATAAAAATTAGACACATAATATTAGATCTTTATAAAAAGAAATACATTACATATAGACAAAAGGAATATCTAGATGGACCAGACTTACCCAGACAGAGACTCTTCTATCTCCTCCCTAAGATACATCAAACACCAGATACCTGGACAGTCCCTTTTGAGGTCCCGAAGGGAAGACCTATTGTGTCGGACTGTGGGAGTGAGTCCTCGCCAGCAGCGGAGTTTATTGACTATTTCCTCAACCCCATTTCACAAAGGCACCCCAGCTATCTGAAGGACACATATCACTTCATAGACACGCTTCACAACATTCCAGTCTCAGCAAACGCATACCTATTCACTATAGATATAGATTCTCTCTACACCAACATAGATATCTTGTCAGGTTTAGCAGCAGTGAAATCTGCACTCCGGACATATCCAGATCCAGATAGACCAGACTCACACCTCCTACAGCTTCTAGAGCTTGGATTAAGAAACAATTATTTCACATTCAATAATAAACACTACTTACAGATTCATGGGACGGCGATGGGCAAAAAGTTTGCCCCAGCCTATGCTAATATTTATATGGCGGACTGGGAGATGACAGCCTTAGATAAATGCCCATTGCGTCCCATGTTTTATAGACGATACCTGGATGATATCTTCGGAGTGTGGGAACATGATCTGGTACATTTCAAAACGTTTATTGAAATACTCAATAACCATCACCCAACCATAACGGTTTGTCAAGTCCTCCTCTTGTTCACCATCCAAAGGACACAGGGACAACTCAAATTTCTGACTCAATCTTTTTTATTTTTAGTTTGCTTTCAGTTGATTGGTCTGTCCAGTAAATTAGCCAGTAAATTAGGTTGTAAACCTTTAAAGACAGAACAAAAAGTTACCATTTTAATTAAACATTTAAATAAACATTCTAAATATCTTAAATGAATTAACCATTTACCATTGGCGTCTTTGGACTGAACCTGTGAGTGAACTTGGAGTCTTCTCTCTGAAGTTTGTTCTTCTGAATGACTGAGCCCCTCCATGCCTTCACAGGTGCTCCAAATCAGTGAAAATGACTGATCAGGTGACAAGCAGCCGGTTTGCTGCTGCTGGTGCACTCTGGGAAGTGTAGTTCTTTGACTCACTCCTGAGATTCAGCTCAACACTGTTAAATATGTCATTCACCCACATACAATTAACTTCCTGGATACAACAATATTCTTTCCAGAGACTGACACACACACATAGTCTCTTTACAAACAAAAGTATACTTTAAAGACACAGACACACATGCCTTACTTCACAAGTCCAGTTATCACCCAAAACATACATTCACTGGTATTGTAAAATCACAACTCATTCGATTTCATAGATTATGTACACAACATAAAGACTTTAATCTAGCCACACAGACTATTTTTAGTGCACTGAGAAAGAGGGGATATTCAAAGCGATCACTGAGGTACATAAAGGCCAACACACTGGCGGGCTTCACCCAGAACAGATTGCCTGATCCTCCTAACCCTACCTCTAACCCTAACCTTAACCCTAACCCTAACCCTAACCTTAACCCCAACCTTACCCCTAACCTTAACCCTAACCTTACCTCTAACCTTAACCTTAACCCTAACCCTAACCCTAACCTTACCTCTAACCTTAACCCTAACCTTAACCTTAACCCTAACCTTAACCCCAACCCTAACCCTAACCTCAACCTTAACCTTAAACTTAACCTCCATAACTCTCCCGGGAGAACTCTTGACCAGGTACTGACTCCTGACCTGGGGGAACAGCCCACGCCTATCCCTATCCCTTTCCCGATTCTGGGTATGTATCCCTATCCCCCCCATCCTATCCCGGTCCTCCACCCTCAGACCTTTCCCAGACCCCCTGTTCCTATCCCCCCAACAGACACAGAACCCCAGATTATACCCATTATCAGCACCTTCTCCGACGTAAACAGACTCCTTCACTCTAGACTAAAATTCGCTTTCACCCAAACACAACGCACATTCCCCCCACTTCAGGAATTCAGACCCATATCAGCTTTCCGTAGTAACCCCAATTTAAGGGATCTCTTAATTTTTGCAAAGTTTTCCAATAAACCTACTCCTAAACTACCCGTTGAACAACAGTATCATAGACAACTTTCACACATTCAAAATCCACATGCACAAACCTCCAGTCCTATTTCACAACTCATGACCATCCATAGTACCAATATTGTCTATGCCATAACATGCACACTATGCCACAACATTTATATAGGAGAAACCGGTCACACAGTCCTGACACGCCTCAAACAGCACCTCTACACAATTAGAAAAAACATATTACAAATACACCTGGTCCAACATTTTCAGATTCACCCAACAACTTCCCTCCATATTACCGGTCTGGAGATGAAATCCACCTGGACCAGAGGCCAGAGAAAAGCAGCAGAATCGAGGTGGATTTCAAAACTTCATACTTTGGCTCCACTGGGGATGAATATCAAGGAATAAATAAAAAACATTAACACTTTTTAGTTCTCGAGACCGGGCAAAGGTGCAATAGGCCCGTGCAACCTAAAGGTTTGAAACCAGTACAAACATAAACCCTCTTAAACCTAACCCTAACCCTAACCCTATCCCTATCCCTATCCCTAACCCTAACCCTAACCCTTACCCTAACCCTAACCCTAAAGTCCTCTACCTTTCCCTTAACCCAAACCCTGACCCTAACCCTAACCTCAGAGACACCGGTGCCTAAACCTAACATTAGTGGCACCGATGCCTAAAACTTAATTCCTTCCCTTCCCGTTTTGGGGATTTTTTTGTAATGTCTTGTCCTGTCCTTGTCTCTCTTGTATTTTTTGTTTTTGTATATGTTTTTTTTGTTTTTTTTTCATTGAAACATAAAGCACGATATATACACTGCTCAAAAAAATAAAGGGAACACTTAAACATTTACATTTACGTCATTTAGCAGACGCTCTTATCCAGAGCGACTTACAGTTAGTGAGTGCATACATTATAATTTTTTAGAATTTTTTTTTTATTTTTTTTTTTTTTTTTATACTGGCCCCCCGTGGGAATCGAACCCACAACCCTGGCGTTGCAAACGCCATGCTCTACCAACTGAGCTACCTCCCTGCCAGCCATTCCCTCCCCTACCCTGGACGACGCTGAGCCAATTGTGCGCCGCCCCATGGGTCTCCCGGTCGCGGCCGGCTGCGACAGAGCCTGGATTCGAACCAGGATCTCTAGTGGCACAGCTAGCACTGCGAATGCAGTGCCTTAGACCACTGCGCCACTCGGGAGACTAAACAACACAATGTGACTCCAAGTCAATCACACTTCTGTGAAATCAAACTGTCCACTTAGGAAGCAACACTGATTGACAATACATTTCACATGCTGTTGTGCAAATGGAATAGACAACAGGTGGAAATTATAGGCAATTAGCAAGACACCCCCAATAAAGGACTGGTTTTGCAGGTGGTGACCACAGACCACTTCTCAGTTCCTATGCTTCCTGGCTGATGTTTTGGTCACTTTTGAATGCTGGCAGTGCTTTCACTCTAGTGGTAGCATGAGACGGAGTCTACAACCCACACAAGTGGCTCAGGTAGTGCAGCTCATCCAGGATGGCACATCAATGTGAGCTGTGGCAATAAGGTTTGCTGTGTCTGTCAGCGTAGTGTCCAGAGCATGGAGGCGCTACCAGGAGACAGGCCAGTACATCAGGAGACATGGAGGAGGCCGTAGGAGGGCAACAACCCAGCAGCAGGACTACTACCTCCACCTTTGTGCAAGGAGGAGCAGGAGGAGCACTGCCAGAGCCCTGCAAAATGACCTCCAGCAGGCCACAAATGTGCATGTGTCTGCTCAAACGGTCAGAAACAGACTCCATGAGGGTGGTATGAGGGCCCGACGTCCACGGGTGGGGGTTGTGCTTACAGCCCAACACCGTGCAGGACGTTTGGCATTTGCCAGAGAACACCAAGATTGGCAAATTTGCCACTGGCGCCCTGTGCTCTTCACAGATGAAAGCAGGTTCACACTGAGCACGTGACAGACGTGACAGAGTCTGGAGACGCCGTGGAGAACGTTCTGCTGCCTGCAACATCCTCCAGCATGACCGGTTTGGCGGTGGGTCAGTCATGGTGTGGGGTGGCATTTATTTGGGGGGCCGCACAGCCCTCCATGTGCTCGCCAGAGGTAGCCTGACTGCCATTAGGTACCGAGATGAGATCCTCAGACCCCTTGTGAGACCATATGCTGTTGCGGTTGGCCCTGGGTTCCTCCTAATGCAAGACAATGCTAGACCTCATGTGGCTGGAGTGTGTCAGCAGTTCCTACAAGAGGAAGGCATTGATGCTATGGACTGGCCTGCCCATTCCCCAGACCTGAATCCAATTGAGCACATCTGGGACATCATGTCTCGCTCCATCCACCAACGCCACGTTGCACCACAGAC